CCCGGGCAGCACGTTTATGGAGTTCCATTCATTCACTCATTCAAGCGCTTGCCCGTATGCTCAAACTGTCCTTCACTTCCTCCAGAGCGGCCGTTGCCAGCAGCCCCCCAAGGCTGAAGTTACACAGCAGAATATCCCGACATCACCTTCCTCCCCGTCCTGTGCCATCGTGTCAGCTCCGACAGTTAGCTGTTGTCTGCTAATAATTACCATCATCACTCTGCAGTCTACCAGAATTTGATTAATGCTCCGAGACAGCCATTCAGGTCCGTGCCTGAACAGGACCAAGCGCATAAAGCCAACCGAAGCCTCCCGCCTTCCCCACACTCACCCATGGCTCCAAGCTTCCACGCCCTTTAGCCTGTCATCATCACGTTTCTTTCTTGCTACAACAATTCCTGGTCTTATCTCAGGCTTAAGGCCAGACACGCATTCCAGATTCTCGGTGTTGGTGTTACTGCTGTTCCAATTCTATGACACGTTTCCATCAAACATTCCCTGCCGCCTTCTGGCTCTATCCGAGCGCAGCATCGCAGATCCCGGGCACGTGCGATGGCACGGCACTGACTGTGCAGTGCTGCCCAGGGGTAGGCCCTACGCACGGGAGGAGCGCCAAGGAACAGCATCGCAGTGGTCTCTCCCGCTCCAGAGCCAGGGCCTAAGGCAACTGTCCGCTCGCTGCCACGCAAACTCGCAGTTTCTCACGCCGCTTCTGGATTCTCCCATACCCGGAGGGGTTTCCTATTTAAAAACAAGGAACTGACGGACAACCCATCTTATCAGCGAGGTTAAAAGCGCTCACGGCACTTTGCGCTAATCCATGTGATTAAGCCAAGGCAGTCCCAGGAAAGGCCACCTCGTTCCTAACACGTCCAGACGAGACACACAAGCTGAGAAGACCAAAATCACATTTTCATGAGGTTCTCCCTACAGAAAGGCACTTCTACCTACAGCTTTGTAGTTCTGTAACTACTCTGCCTCAAGAGAATTTCTATAAAAGGACACATGGCGTTACAGACGGTACCTGGCAGAGCGAAGTACAAGTGCATGTTAGAAACCACACGGGGAGTTCTAGTCACAGTAACATTTCGTGAGAGAAAACGCGAGGAAGACCTTCAGCAGGCATGAGCATTGCTTGAACGGACAAGGAGCCCACAACAATCCTTGTCCCGGAGGCACGTAGAGTAAGAAAGGGTTTGTTTTTCAACCAGAAAGGGAATCATAACCAACTCCAAGGCAGACTGCAAACAGCAGGGAAACAAATTTGCTGTGTTCAGATCCCGTCACACCTCCCTAGCCCCTGAACAAACTCCCTTGCAGGGTGCTGTTTCACGTGAACTGTTCTGTGACTGTCACTCATTCTGCTCTCCAAAATGTCCTGGAGAGTTTTTCAAACTCTGATGTTACTATTTCACAGCATCTGCCTTTTGTTAAGGCCAGACATTAACAAGCAGTAAGTCCTATCCCACTGTACTTGCAAAGAGCAACAAGGCACCGTTTGAAATCATTGAATATTGACTCATTTTATTAGTCACTTCATAATTCGTTTCAACCAAAAGACAATACACACAGCAGAAGTCTAATGCATCCCATGTAAATGTTTACATCCGTTATGCTCCTCACTCACCTAAGACTCAGCAGTCATCTCAGATTTTCACATCTCAAAAACAGGTCTGCAGAAGTTAGAATGCCAGCAGGCTCCCTGCTCGGTTTTTACTTCAGATTTGGCCGGGTTCGTTGGAGCTTTGTTTTGGGTTTTTGTTTGCGGGAGAGTGGTGTTGGGTGGTAGTTTTTAAACTATGTTGTCAAAGAGGTGGGATGGGGCTCTACATAAATTACAACAACAGGAAAGAAAAAGGAATATACAGGAATAGAGTGAAAGTTCAGAGGGAAGCAGTCCAGCAGCGCCTTCCCTCACAGCCCCCAAGTAGAAAATGAACACATAGAAAGCGCACCAGCAGATCTAAAAAAACCCAAAAGCCATCTTTGCTGCTCCATCTTGCAGCTAGTACCAGCCTGGGGGAAGGCACTAAGTCACCTTTCCCAGCTGTTTCGGCATCTTCTGAGTTGTATTTCCAAGGTACTGTGTTGGTGGCAGTCCCCTCACTGCTATTGCTTCAAAAGGTTGTTCAAGGCCGTATTTTGTCCCATCAAAACCTGGACAAAGTCAAATCTTAGGCCCTTCCCATGTCTCCTCTCCCTTTGGGCCCATTATGGCCACCATGATTAAATCTCATGTTTTGACTCAAAATACATTCACTTGGAAAAAAAGACATTCAACCCCTCCCAGCTCCCAAGTCTCCAGTGCAGATATTAGTAAGATTAACCACGAAGTATAATGCTTCCTTTACATCCCCCACGTCATCCCCTTACGCTGGAGCACAGAGGCGTACTTAGGGGTCAAAGAGCAAACAATGCAGATATGGGCATGTGTGAAACCTGGCCTTCCTTCCAGCATGTTAGCAGCCCAGCCCTTAGTGGTGACGGGAAGGAGCTTCAAGGACAACAGGAATGTTCACCTGCTACAACGGAGTACTCCATAGCCAAGGGAGGGCTTCAAGCAAAATGCATTTCAGGTACATGCACCACCTCCTTCCGCTCCACTCAGAAATATGATACAAAGCATCTATTTCCCAAAACATAAACACTGTGCAAGGGTGGTTGAAGGAGCCAAGAACAGAGTAGGAATTTACCCTCCAAGTTTACCAGAGACCAACAACTGCTGCTCTACAGGACAGAAAATCAGTGCAACAAGCTGTTCCCAACTATGCTGCAACAAACTGGCTGCGCGAGGCAACTTACTGCCTTCTCCCCGTCTCGTCTCCTGCGCCAGTGCTCTGTCCCAGCAAAAACAGGCAGGGACTGAGGCGTGCCAGCTCTCCGTACACGTGACCACGTACGATTCTCTAAGGGGGGGAGAGCTTACAGGGAGTTCAGGAATGAAGGCAAAGACTTTCCATTAGCTTCCTAGCTGTGACACCCTCCGAGCTCGCTGGAGTCTACATTTAACACGGTCAGCTTTCAGCACTAAGGAGTTTGGGCTAGTGTGATGGTGAAGTCACAACTGCAGTGAAAGCAAAGGTAAATGCGCAGCACCTACAAACGGACTTTGATTCGGCCACTGTCTGCAAGACTGCCTGCTTCACAATGCTTCTAGCTGAAGCAGGGACTGTACCTCACCACCGTCAGCAAGGCACGACCCTGCCACAAACCAGGGTTACTTTTAAGGAAACCATACATCATTCTTACAGATTTTATAATCCTATGCTGATGCCAGTTCCAGCCAAGTAATAAAGCTCTTTGCTAATCCAAAGGCCCAAACCTGTTTAAACAGTAAGGCAGCAGAAATGCCCTCTGAAAGCAGCTGAACTTACTCCACTACGCAGACCAGCACTTAGATCAGCGACAGTCAGTTCTACATTGTATTACTTCCTGCAGCTAAACCCAAAGCAGACTGAACCACCTTTATTGGTCTCCTGTTCCCATACAAGGGCAGAATAGGTCTTCAATTTTCCCTAAGTACACTGTGCACCACTCACCGTGTTTTTGGCAAGGACTGGAGCTTAGTGTTAGCACTTTTGCAGATGCAAAAAGCTATGTCTAAGCTTGCCATCAGAGCACTGAATGGTCACTATCTGGAAGGCCCTCAAACAGAAATAAAGCAGATATGCCATCTGTTTCTTCTGAGAAAGGACTGGGGTTGGAAGCTAGAGAACCTTCCGCTTACCAGCACACTCATGGATGAGGATCCAAGATACATCCTCCCCTCTCTTCCTCCCTGAAGAGCAAACATCTGAACAGTTCTGTCACACTGTGCTTTGTATGTCCTATACATCACCTCCAAGAGAAGGCACAGCATGTACCGCCTCGACAACCGTTCGCGCTCGGAAGCGTAACTGAACGCCACTTTCTGTAAGCTTAGAGTACTGGACCTCTCTCTCCGGATCGAAATACTCAAGCGACTGGTTTCCATTCAAAACTCAGTTTAGTTACTTTCAGTCTGAACCTGAACTAGCACATTTCTCTGAACGGGGAGCAAGGAGCAAACTACAAGGATCAATTAAGTAACAAAATGGGAAAAGGTCTCTTTAAACCGCATGGTCTTTATTTCAGTGCCAATATTACAGATACAACACAAATATCCCAGTCAGAAGTAACTCAAATGGAATCCAGGGGGTCTACAACAGGCTCTGGAAATTAAATTGGGGAGAAGGTCTGGAATAACTGGGAAGAGCAACTTTGCAGCATAATCTCTGATGAGTCTCCCAGCAGGAACAGAGCCCTTGCTTAAAGACTGATCTACAAAATTGAATGTCTTTTCTACCCATAAACCACAACTAACGAGTTAAAAGGCTTTGAAACCATCTGTGGTAGAAAACCAGCTGCTCCTTGGATCTCTACATCTCTCATACATCACCACACTTTCTGGGGAAGCTACAGAAGCCTGTCTGGGAATCTGCATGGCTGTAGCTATTGATGGAAAGAAAGAAAATTCAAGTGTAAGGTCTTCATTTCCAAGTACAGCACCAAAGCAACTTTATCAACTCTCACCAGCACCTCTTTTCCTGCACTGTCCCAGGTTTGCAGATGAAGTCCCAAGGCCTAACTTGCTCTTGGTATGTATCACATAACTAAGAGGCGGGTGTATACAATAATGCACTGAATAGGCCGTAAGAAGCCTCCAGCCCCTTCAGACGTAAGGGATACAAGAAGAAAGGCAGGACAGCCTGACATTCCCCAAGTCCCCAGTCTGAGCCTCAGATGAAAGTGCCTGAAGGAATCCAGCTAGTAATGAATGACAACACGCCTTGCCCAGCCCAGGGAAAAGACAGAAGAAAGAAGGGGCAGCTGTTCACTTGCTGCACACAGAAGAAAGTTTCCCTGCTAGAAATTCCAGACTTCCCTTCCAAACCAGGCTGTGTTTCTTTGCAGGGGGGCTGGGGGGGTGGGGAAGGGAGGGGAGAAGGGAATGTTGCTTCTGGCTGTGAATGCATGTGTGAGGGAGTGCACAGTAGCCTCCACAAGCCACCAGCCTCATCAGCGGAGGAGAGAAGATTAGTCTTAACAGATATGCTTCAAAGTCAGCAATCACTTCAGGAAAATTCCTCCTCATCAGCAGGTCTCATCTGTTCCCCATGCCCATGGTGCAGTTTGGGGGATTGCCAAGGATCATAACCTTCTTCCCAGAGTTCTTTTGATTGGGTGGGGTGAGAATAAGAACGGTGCCAGAGCCTCACTGCCAAGACTGAGGGGGGAAGTTGTTGACTTCTGCTAGATCCTGCATTGCTGAGCCCTTGTGATTATACGTCAACTTGATCCGCATACGTAGTTGTTGCTACAAGAGAAAAGGGGGAAAAAAACAAACAAACACAAAACAAATTCAGGTCTTGATTAAAGGTCAGCGAATTCCCCCCACGTACAGCTCCCCTCCCTTGCCCCATGGATACAAAACACAGGCCTTTCCTCACCACAAGAGCTTGCTGAAGGGATGCTGTGACATTGCAGACAAGTGCTTTATCTGGTAGGACACTGACTGGCCAGTATAGTTCTCAGATCAGAGAAACTCCCAGAGAAGCTGTAGCACAGCTTCTACCCACATCTCTCTCTGCACTGGTCCTGTTCTCACAAGCACTCAAGTCTTTAAATACAAAAATAACTGCCTCAAAATTCCCAGTTAATGGAAGAAAGCAGGAGGCAGATCCAGACTCTGCTGCTCTGCACCAAAGCTCACCAGGAGAGGCATCTTCCCCATACGAGCTGTTATCAAAGCAGCGGTCTGGAATCTCCAAGTATTGCCTAGCTCAGTAGCATCGTGAAGGAAACAGCCTAGGGAAGACTGGAAACTGAGCCTCTAAGAACATTTCCTCCCACTGCGAGTAAATGATGGAATAGTTCAGAAGCTCTTCTACACTGTCATTCAGCTGCCATCCTGATATTAGGTGGCCCTTAATAACAGCTAGAGCACAGCATGCTCCAAGGAGGTTCCCTATTCTCCTCAATCTCAAAAATACTTGTTTCCCAAAAACCCTACGAGAAAGAGCAAAAAGTTGGCTATTTCTGGCTCTTTTCCCCATACCTACGGGAATTATGCAAAAAGGATAGCAGAGGGAAGAAAGGAAAACAATGACTGCTCCAACTAGCCTCAGGATGAAGAAGCTATGCTTTATCACTAACAGATCAATGTAATTGCTGTCAGTTTTTGTTACATTTGGTGTTGTTTTGGGAAATTCAGCCATCAGTTTAAATCCAGCATAATGACAGTCTGTGTCTGGGTCAACAGACTTTTTTTTACAACACCGACATGACAGCCACCTCCTAAGCAGCAAGGCTGTTCCTAAGTTGCCTCTCAGAGTATGCCAGGTAACCACACTATCTCATGGAAAAAGGCTCTTGCAAAGCTGTACTTTCAGGCAGCAGCAATCTAAAGGACAGTAAGAGATGCTCAAACACCTGAGGTCGAAGAGTTAGAGAACAGTGGGCAAGAGAAAAAAGAGTAGTAAAGTACTATTTTGCACCTCTTTATTCTGAAGTGTTCATAGGAGTGCTGGTGTTCCAACAAAAAGCATCCCACTACCCAGGTGTATTTCACCTTGTCAGCCCCATCTAACCCAGATCCGTTGCGACTTCTGGCCCACAGCACCACAGAGACATTCATATCAGATGTTCATATCAGATGTATACAAGACAGAGAAATTAGTCTTGTGGCTTTATATAGGCAGAGGGGAGCACACTACATGGAGATAAGGGGAGATGCATGGAAACCACAAAAACTATGCACTAGAAGACAGTCATTTCATGGGAATCTTGGGCTGAGATTTGAGCATTTTTCTAATTTGCACATCAGTCCAGCAGCAACACAACATCTAGAGCAGTATGTAAGTGTAAACCTAAGAAACTTAAGATGTTTTAAGTTCTTAAAGATGCTGAAGATCTTAAGGATGTCTCTCAAAGGAAAAAATGTGTGATCTCAATTTTACTTTTTTTTCTGATGCCATCTAAATACTTGCAAAGCCTCTTAGGGAGGATGTGTGGTCCACATCCCTCCCTCCCACTCAAGTCTGTTTTATCCCCTTCTTGAAGCCTGTCTCTGAAGGATGTAAACCAAACGGTATTATGATTAAATCACACCTAAAAATTCTTTCCATCAACTGTTTAAAGCTACACCCATCACATTACAAACACACACCACCACTTGAGAAAACAGACAATTTTGTTAAGATTATGGATCAAGCTATTCCTTGTGTAATGAACACTTGAACTCTGCTGCAGGCAGCAAGAACAAACGTTGAATATATTCATATGTCAGGATGCTTGCCTTGCAGACATCACTTCCGCAACACATACAAACGCCAGGTTGAGATCCTCTAGAAAGGCCATCAATAAACTTAACCATTCCAATGCAAAAGACACTCATGAATTCAACACAGCAAAGCTGTGAATCTGTTTTAGCAGTATAACCAAACAGAAGGCCAAACCAGGACCTCTCCTGTCTGTTTCCTAATTTTTCCTAGCCCTAACCAAAATGACTGTTGTTAAAAACACATCATTCACTGCCTCCACTCTTATTGTCATCAGAGGTGCATCCCTAACTGACAGCAACTAAATGCAGATTTCAAGACAATATCTTTAATAACTGTTCTTGGAATCACTCACCTTTTGTGGATTCAGGACTTTAATGACCTGTGTGATGGTCCCAGAGTTAAATGCAGGGATGACACTGCTGCTGGGAGACAGGAGCTGCAGCTGGAATGTCTAAAGAAAGAGCAAAGAGAAAACAATTCGATGCTTAATCAAGTAAGAGCATGAACTGATTTGTTTGACTGAGAGAAAGCAAGGAAAACTAAGAGCTCCATTCCTGGCCCTGAATAATCAGTTCTTCAATTCCTTATCTGTAAAGAACAAAATATTCACTGGCCCACCTGCTTTCTACACAAGTAAGATCCAGGCAGCACAAATACTAGGGGATGAGGGCTTACTGTAGTGTACCAGGATCAGCAGTGATGCATCGTTTCAAGTGTCACACTCAGAGGAACAGTCAAGGCTGCTCAGCTCAGCTGTAACTTCAAGAGGCCCATTCTTTCCCCAGTTCCTTCCTACGACAGGTATGAAACCTGTCCCAATTAGTTAGAGCATTACTAATTCCTAGAAGTGAAACTCCTGGAAGCAAATGCATTTTCCCAAACTTGAACTTTCCAATCACACCCCACTTAAACAGTCTGTTCTATTATAAACTAGGTGATTCTATGATTCTGCCCCTGTACTCTGCTCTGGTGAGACCCCACCTGGAGTACTACATCCAACTGTGGAGCCCTCAATATCAGAAGGATATTGACCACTTGGAGCGAGTCCAGAGGAGGGCCACGAAGATGATCAGAGGGCTGGAGCACCTCTCCTATGACGAAAGGCTGCGAGAACTGGGCTTGTTCAGCCTGGAGAAGAGGAGGCTCCGAGGAGACCTCATTGCAGCTTTCCAGTATCTGAAGGGGGCCTACAAGGGTGCTGGGAGAGGACTTTTTACAAGAGCCTGTCGTGATAGGACAAGGGGTAATGGGTATAAATTGAAATCAGGGAGGTTTAGATTAGATATCAGGAAGAAATTCTTCACAGAGTGGGTGGTGAGGCACTGGAACAGGTTGCCCAGAGATGTTGTGGATGCCCCATCCCTGGCTGTCTTCAAGGCCAGGCTGGATGTGGCTTTGAGCAACCTTGTCTAGTGCAAGGTGTCCCTGCCCATGGCAGGGGGGTTGGAACTAGATGATCTTTAAGGTCCCTTCCAACCCAAACCATTCTAGGATTCTATGATTCTATAAACTAGGCAATATCTGTCTCCACTAGTCTGTGCTGCATCTAAGTGCACGGGGAGATGATTCAATGCTTAAAGGGGTGAATTGCCACGTGGGAACTTCTAAGCTTTTATAATCAGCTTCAAAAGATTTTTTTCCCCATGCATTCATTGCTGCAAAGAGCAGCACGGTGTAATTTCTTAGAAACTAAGAATAAAGGTAAAGATTAGCATCCTCACTTCTTTTCACCCAACATTCTTTTCCATGTGGGTCAGCAGCTTTCCTAGAAAGTAGTGATTCTAAACCAATATTTTATGCAAGCAGAAGTAGTCCAATCTGACAGGAACAGGTTTTCTATTGCATTTAACACATTTACTTTCAGACTAGAAAGAGATGACCAAACTGAGCACTCAGAGAACCTGCTAACAGCTCTTAGCCTTGTTTACCATGCTGCAAGTTCCTGTCTGCATGAAAGCACTGATCAGGAAGCATTTGCAGCTGACCCTCAATCTGTTACTGCAGTTGCTCTAAGCGGCTCTACCTTTGGTACTGCAGCTTGGAAAACAAAATCTGTCATATCCAGCTCTGTGCTGTTGGAGGCCTGTATCGTGATTACAGTGACGCTAGGGTTGGTGTTCGACCTCTCAAAGGTGAAGTCAATCTTCAGCCCATTCTTGTTGTACGCAGTAATTGAGGGGATTCCTGCAGAAAACAAAACAGTGGGGGAACTACAGAATCTGGAGATCATTCTCAACATCACAGAATGCATTTACTTCACCCCAAACATGAATACTTCTGAAGATTAAACACCACCCCGCTCCTCCTGCTCCTGTCTGTGCCACACTTCACTTTCAAATCTGCCCCCCCTTTTTTCACCATCCCTTGTTTCCTCTTCTAGGCAGGTGCTGTAGCGCCCCAGGCTAAGGATTTACATGCCCCTAACCTGCAGCAATATCATTGAAGAGAGGCTGTGACGAAAGTCCATCAAGCAGGAACGGAGGCTGTGCTATCTGGGGTGCAGGGGCAGATACTGGAGAACCTACAAGAAATGTTGATGGATTATTACTTAGCTGCCATGCAACGACAAATAATTACTCCTTCTCCACAGATCCACTGCTGCGTATCATATTTCTTTACATGAAGCTCTACAAATCATCTGCGTTGTCATCCTCCCCTTCTCTGCTTTTACTAACAAGGTCTGGCTCCTCTTGAGCTAGAAAGCATTCAAATGGAATTAATTCCTCACATCTCCCAAGCCTCTCTGCAAAGGCTCACAGCATTCCCAGGCTGCAGGGTAAAAATTGTCCAGACTCACCAGCTAATCACGCAGAGCTAACCTCACTTAATTCCCTGACTCCCACCTGTACGCTGATATGGATCTTGCTAAGAATAAGTGTGAAGACCAGGACTTGATGGAAACTGAAGAAATAGCCAGCCCTCATCCCGCCCCAGGACTGAGAACATGGACTTTACGAGCTGCAGCCTGCTCACCTGTTAGGTTGAGGTCTCCCAGGAGGTCAAGGAGCTCCCCACCAGCAGAGGCTGGCTTGCTTGTAGGTGCAGTGGGGATTACAGGTGTTATATCACTTCCCCCCAACAAGTCCAACAAATCATTTGCCTAATGAGAAAGTGGATGTGATAGTTACATATTCAACTTCCTGCTACTTTCCCTTGCAAATGTAATGGATTCTACTTGCTCTCAGACCAAAGACCAATATAGCTGCTGGCCAGTCAGACAGGGTCTTCATTTGGCTATGGTCCCATGCCCCACAAGAGACCTACTTTCCATGCTCTTGGGACCACAGAGCTAGAGAAGGATGGAGTTCATGGACACTGAGACAGGCTGGGGGAGAGATGGCTTTACCCGCCAGCTCTCACACTCCCCACGATGACCTCTTCCACACGCCTGTTCTCGACACTAGAGCCATTAGCGTAGAGAGATGGTGCAATCATTGCCAGGCCACAATGGGCAGAGGCAGAGAGGGGGAGGGAGATGCTCTCAGCTTACTGTTGGCAGTGGCTATTAGTGTGGGCTGACCAGCAGTGGAAACTTAATCCTAGATCAGTTTCCATTACCTGGCTAGCAGGCTGCAATCCGGAGGGTGGAGGTTTGGTTTCCAGTACCGCTGGCTCTGTCTCCCCGTTGGTCTGTACAATCTCAGTAGGGCCATTTGTGGTGACTTTCTCCATTACTGGCATTCTCTCAAGCAGGGCTGGCCTGAAAGAAGCTGACATAGTTACACTGTGCCATCTTTCTGGATCCCAGTCCAAATACTCAGACATTCAGGAGACGATATACACAAGGCAACCTGCCTTTTCCTTTTAGCTCCAATGCAGGGAACTGTAAGATTGCATGACAGCCTGAGGTGATCAGAAGCAATCCCTGGCATTCCATGCCAGTGTAAATACATTAGTTGACAGCTGAAAGCCAAACAAGACCTCCTGCCTCCTGTTTTCCCCAGTACTTGATACAGTTTCCACTGTGGGGCTAGGATAACAAACCCAAGACAAAGATTAAGTAACTGAGCAATGGTGGATTCACTGCAGACACGGGGCACTTGGCTGCTCTGTTCCATATTCAGTTGGGTTAGAGTCAGCCCATTCGACTTCTCTTTGCAGAAGGCTTAACCACTTCGAACAGGTGACAATTTGGGAAAGCAAATCACCATGCTCTTCTTTAGTTAAATTAAGTTTCCAAAGAGATTAAGTTCAGCCCTTGAGAGTACCCTCCTGAAATGATACAGAGACTGAAGAGGCATGGGATCCAGAATTCAGACATCAAACCAAAAAACTAGGAAAACCTGTATAGGGAGAACTAGTCTGTAATACAAGAATGGCCATTACCCTTGCAGATCAAGCCACAAAGTGCTGCACGTAATAGGGGTAACCCACACTGTCTATGCATCTTTTGGCCGGAAAAAAGTGTTCCAGTGTCAATAAACACAACAATGGGCCACATTTCTTACCATGAACAAAGTCTTCATGAGCAGAAGCCATAAAACACTGACCTTTACACTGTAATGAACACTAGAATATATTGGGGGTAAAAGTACAGATACTGTCTTATAAAACTGAATGAAGCTCACGTGTTTTTTCTGAAGTGCAATGCTATCCAGAACTATGATTAGCATAGACTGTCATCTGATCAAAAGCCAGCTGATCACCAGACACTCTTGTCTGCAATGGTCAGCTCAGACCAAAAGGCTCTCATGCTAAATTATTCTCTACTCATAAGGATTCATGTGAAGCCCTGGGCAGCTCACATGCCTTAGCTCATAAGCCCTGGGCAGCTCACATGCCTTAGCTCATCAACATGACTTTTCCAAGAACAATCTGAGTTGCTCCATGGATCCCACGGGAAGAGAGAGAAATCACAAGGATGTTGTGTCCTACGGATAGTGACTAGGATGGCATACATATGGGGGGGGAGTGGGGGGGGGGGGAAAGGTTTGTGAAGAGCCTTTGAAACAAGGTTTGGGGGCCTCTACACAGGTAATATTCAGTCCAGTGGCACCCATTTTCTCATTTTCTCTGTCCTCTCATCTAGTCTCCAAATTGGATGCTCCTTCATCCAATGGAATCTTGTGGCAAGTTTTCAAGGATGAATAAAATTAATCCCCAGAAGATCTCCTCCAACCTCACGATCCTCACTGAACAGAATCTGTGGTGCTCCTACATATCACCAATTAACTATTGCACATAGCTGATTAATGACTATTCTGCAAAGAAATACAGCTTTAGTTATTGCAACAAAGTAGGGTTTTAAAACTGAGAAGTATTATCAGGTGGAGGAGTTACCTCAAGTTCAGAGCACAGCTTAGAGGACAGGTCAATAGATCTTTGCATATTTATTCCACAGACATTCAAGCTCAAAGCAGGGCAAATGTTTTGGCAGAGAAAGTCTCTGACCACAGAACAACCTCCCAGGATATGTTAAATTCTTAAAACACTCACTAACCCTATAGATGAGGGAGACTAGTTCCCCTGTAATCCTACCAAAAGCACCAGACAAAGCTCTCAAAGCACAAAGCGTGGTACACAGGAGATCAGAGTAGATGATAACGATCCTTTTCAAACACCAAAACTCATTGCCACTTACCTCATGTGATCATATTTCTTGAAAAGTGCATTATATTCCACTGCCCTCTGCTGTAGCTCCACATCGATGCTGCTGCCGTAAATGGAAACCACCTTCTTGATGCGACTGTGTGAGGGCAGGGGGGAAACAAAAAAAAAACACCACACCATGGAATTAGCAGCAGTAAGCAAGAGATGAGCATGTGTCATCCAGAAGACACTATCTGGGTCTCTGCTCAACAGGTGTCCCATGTAACTTGTTTAAAACAGCAGTCACTGCTGTTCTCCTGGAGTATCTATGCAACATCTCTTTTTGAGCTGTCCCTTCACAATGGCATCAGCAGGTGATCAATACACCACCACAAAGCGAATCAGAAGAAAGCTCAACTACCCTAACCAAGCAGTCAACAGTAGGAAACAAGGCTGTTTTTCTCTCCATCATCTGAAAAGGGAATTGGAAAGAACAGTATACTGAAAGGACAGACTTATTTTCCCCATAGAGGGGTTTTCAAGCAACAACAAAATGGATTAAGTCAGGGCATCCACAGTGAAAACAGTACAAACCAGAGGAAGACTTCCACCCTGCAAGAAAGGAGGGCTACCAAAGCCCAGAAGCAACAAGATGACTCTTGCACACCGCTGAAGCAGAACACACCAAGGAGTACCTCTACTGAGGACAACTGATGCCAGCATATTTGCAACAAAGCCCTGTGCAGTACAACATCAATGAGAACTCACTTGACAGTGCAGGTGAACCTTGTGGAAAGCTTCATGATGGCAGTGAGAGCATAGCCTCGTGTAACAGATGCAGACATATTAGATATCAGGACGCTTTCTAAAATATCAAGAACTTCATCCTCTGTTACCTGAAAAGGTACAGGAAGGCGAGTTTGAGACAGAGCAGCTTTGCAGCAAGCCTTCCAAGACTGTCAAAACCCGTCTCTTGCTTAATGCCTGTGTCATACCTCCTCCACAACTTTGTGAGCCCGTAGCATTATGTTCAGAGCGTATGAGACAGATGCATCTACGTGGAGATCTTACAATACTAGTTTTAAAATTTACTAGTGCCTGTTCCACACATTGAAGAGCAGGTTCATCACCAAAATACACAGCTAAGACCCTGCAAGATCGGTTAGCACTGAAACCAATTGTAGCTGCACCCCTCACAGCGAGTGTTTATGCAGCCCACGCCTGTAGCATGGGAAGGAGATTCCTGTCCAGAGCTATCACTATCATGGACACCAGTTAAATAACTGTTGCCAGCATTCCCCTCACACAGCCAGCATCAAGCAGCACCATCCTCAGCTAGGTACAGAGTTGTCCTTTCCCAAGCTATACCTGTATTGGTTCCTCCTCTTCACACTGACCAGACACCAGGAGATCTCCATACTCTCCTATGCACCAAGAGGCCACTTGCACCAGGGGCTGCTGTTAGAAGAAAAATCAGATGCTTCAGACATAAATAGATGCCTGTATGACAAATTAAACCACCACCAGTCCCCAGAGCAAGCTTAGCTCTCCTTCCAGCCAAGGAAGTTCTCAGAAGAAACAGGAAAACTGCGTAAGAGAATTAGAGAAAATAAAGAGAACGTGAAGTTATAGAAGACATGCCTCCTGTGCAACCTGTCCCTTGGAGCTAGACAGTGCGGTGTTGACTTCCCTTGAGATGCTTAAAAAATATGCTTATTGCAGTACAACAAGGAAACAGAAGCTGGTTGTGTTTGGTATTACCTGGGAGTAATCACCGAGGATGGCTTTGTAGAGTCTCTGCACAGTGTAGGCATGCATCTCCACACTATTGGTTATTAGTTGTATCAGATTGGGAACAGCATCATCACGGACGTAACTTCCTGCCTGCAAGAACAATTGTCATTAGGTTTCACCATCCGACTTCTCAGTAATACCCAGCATCTGCTAAGATCCTGCACAAAGCCGCCTGACGTGCACGGAAATAAAAATCCACCTCCTCATCCCCAAGCACTTTGCGGTTCATTCTGAGCAGGCTCAGATGGGTAAAGCACAGGACAGTACACTGTCTAAGGAACTCAACTATACCCTGCAGCACAGGGTTCTTATGCCCACGCTCTATCCTCTTGACAGTTTCAGGATATCTATGGTGTGGATTTCTCTGGGTATAGTTGAGTTGATTTTTATCAACTCCATGCTGCTTTGGGGGAAGGAGGTAGAGAAATCTGGAGCAAAGCTGAGCCTGGGAAGAAGGGAGAGGTGGGAGGAAGGCATTTGAAAATTCAGTTTTAAAATCTTATTATCCTACTCTGATTTGATTGGTCATAAATTTCCTCAAATTAAGTTTGGTTTGCCTATGATGATAATTGGCGAGTAATATCTCTGTCCTTATCTCAACCGACAAGCCTTTCATTGCATTTCCTCTCCTCTGTCCACTTGAGGAGGGGAGTGACAGAGCGGCTTTGGTGGGCATCCGGTGTCCAGCCAGGGTCAACCCACCACAATGGCTGATGCCAGAAATAAATTCTCAGTTCAGAGGAATCTATTATTCTGTTTCAGGATGGCAAAGTAGCACACGAGCCAGACTCACTTCTTCATGCAGTCCTTAAATTTGAACATTCATACTGATAAAATAAATCTCTCCCCACCCCTTTGCCTCAGGAAACACACTGCCAACCCAAGTTATCAAGATCTCTTCCCTGTTGTTGGCCAAAACACTACTCCAGTTCCACCTCAGCTGTGATGTTTATAAAGAAATTACGTAGGTGAAGAGTAATAATTAAACCCAAAGAAGAGGAACTAAAAGCTTTTAAATGAAACTGGATCAACAGCCTTCACGAACTCAACTTGGAATAATTCCAGGTAATTGTTTCATCCCCTTTCTCTTTGCAACTCACTTGAGGCTGTGTTCACTCTCCCCTGAAAGCACTGTATATTGGAATCACAGACAGCATAAAAGCTCTCCTAACTTAGAAGCTCATCTGACTGCTGCAGTAGAAAAACACTCTGCTATGCACCTGACTCTTGTGTGTGTCTGAAATCATACATTTCCTCTAAAAAACACCCAGTCATTTTTACTGGGTGTACGCATTTCTGACTGGCTGCCTTGGGTCACTACCATGCAAGTGCACTTCCTCTGCGTTTTGCAGCATGTGTTCTCTGCCAGCCTTTATTGCCACCTCCTACTTGATGGGTAACTTCCTACAGAATTAAATTTTTATGTAGCCACACACAAGGGGGAATTTGACTTACCGTTGTTAAGACTCTCATAATTGTGTCTATGTGCCAGCGTTTGGAAGGAGCATATCTGCCAAAATTAAGAAAACAAGTTAGAGCAATGACTGCTAACCTTCAACACCAGCAAGAAAACCATCATCACCACAACCCACCCACTCAGCTACTTCCTGGCCCACTGTTTCCCCGAGGAACACACCAACAAAACACACACAAAAACCTCCCAAAACACCACACACTTCACATTCTTTGACTTGCTTTTGTATTAATGCTGACATTGGAAAGCTGAATGAATACACAGGCCTGTGTAACACAGCACAGCCATACCTTGCACATACAATACTTCAAAGTCAGGCTGCTGCTCACAGCGGCTCACCAGCAATGAGATCGTCTCTGTGTGCAACTAACCAGAGAGACTGTGTGTGGGGCAGGGGCAAGGGCAGGAGCTCACCACTGTACCTGTTCCAAAGTGCAGCACAATCAATATTTAGTGATACGAGGACTATCCACATGTGATACAATGGGGTGTCCCAAGGCACTAGTCTGTCCTGCTCCTCACAGCAGGTTAAAACTCACAAACCACACACAGGTCAGCAAATGCAGAAGAGAGGATCAACATATTCTCTCTTGGGGAGTGAGGTGGGGAGGTACAGCACACAAAATATTCGTAATTCCAAGGATGTAGAAAAAATTAACAGCAAGTAAATTGACCCCATACTTTTCAGCTGCAAGGAATATTCCAGATGCACAGTCTGCCTTGAACTCTGGTTCACAGGAATCTAGGAAATACAGCAACTCCTTCATCATTCCACGGACATTATTCCCATTAACAAGAGCAAAACTCAGTTCCATTGCACGCCTAGGGCAAAAGACAGAAAACCAATGAAGTATCTTCACCTAGTGAAATAAAAAGCCCACCCCAAGTCCAGCTACTCAGATGCACTTACCTTTAACTAAGAAAGCAGTATTTATTAAGCCTTCCACATCAAACATGCCAGTATTTTCCTGTACATGGGCACACAATAAACATCCACCCCCATAAAACCTAGTGGTGTGTTCTAGAAACCCCCATCCAGATGTCCTAAAAGCTAGAACTACTTTTCAGCCACCAGAGTCCATCTGCATTGAAGTCTGACAGTCCAACTGTTTGTAATCGCATGCTGGTCATTTCTAACACACAACTGCAATAACTAATCCATGCTACAACACTTTCTCCAGCTTCAGGGATCCAGAAGAGACTTGTTTTGATCTCCATATAAGAAACACAGTAGAGATTTAAAATATTCCATGTGTGTTTTAACTCCAATGATTTTCATTAAAGTCATCATGTGGAGATGCATGAGTTAGCTATCCTTCCATGTATTTACTGGCAGCAAATCCATGAGCGGTCCCACCGATTCCGTCTTGCACCAGCGTCAAGCTTGCCAACCTACCACTACATGGACACAGTTCTTTTTGCTGATTGCTCAGTGCTTTCCCAAGGTTCATGAAACACCAACAACTTAGACCAGGAACATTACTCAATCCAACGGTATTGGGCACAAGCTATTTTTTCACGAATCTGAAAACATCTAGACAGCGCTACTTCTCAGCATCTCCTTAGTTATTCTTGTAGTAAAAAGAATTTCTACAGAACTGTGAAGTGTAAAGGTGTTATTTTGCTTTTTATACAACTAATATCCAGGGACCTACAAAACAGAGGTGTTCTGAATTGGAGTGGAAGTACACAGCTAGATCGCTACTTTTTGTCACCTAGATCTGTGGCTGGTTGAAGACCTATACGGTTATTAGAACTGTTCTGATCTCCCCAGTGAGTCCTCAACTTGTTACATCTAACTCCACAGGGTTACAAGCTTTCCATGTTCGTGTTTAACTTTTCAGCCACATTACAGCAGAGATGTCAATGCCGTAGGTGCACAGAGGTACTCTGCAATCTTAGTACCGGGCATTTATCTCAAGACACACTGCTTACCTTCAGTGATATTACACCGCTCATTTCTGTTACAAGGTTCCTAACCATGTAGTTTAATCATATTAAACCAACAGACACAAAGACTTGAATGAAACAGCAAAGCCATACTGAATTATACACCACGGACCAAAAATGCACTGCAGCGGTTAAAAGATGATGAGAACAGACCATGCCAGATAACCAAAACCAGGTTATCTGTCTGTCCCTCAAGTCCCAGCCCTTGACACTTGCTACGTGGGGACTCTGACATACAGTGAATACATTGCTTCAGTGAAGACAGTGCATTGTCAGCAGCACGAGTGTCAGCATGGCATCATGCTCTGCTGATGGATCACTCAAAGGCTTCATCCTCCAACAGCACTGACGTGAAGCTGTCCTTTGTAGCATACCTATGTTTTCCTAGCAGGCACCTACAAAATGCTTTCGTTGCCTTCTACCCAAAACCTAGAGGGGGCTTTGCCATTCCACAACCTGGTCTCACGCTGGCTCTGGCACCAAAAAGCAACAGCAGCAAGCATATATATATAAGCAAGCATATCTTGCTTAGCATGTAAGATACAAATTTGTCTTTTGGGATAGATTGCAACTGTAAAAACAGATTACATGATACCCATTACATAACGGTTAAAACCATGTTTCAGAAGCAAGACAGATCCAATCCCTTTCCTATTCTGTACTAGACTGAGCAGTGCTGGTACAGTTCTAGACCGGATTCAAAGATGAGCATAATTTGAAGAAAGCCTGTCAGAGCAAGTATTTATGGCATATCTAATCAGTCTGACAGCATGAAAAAAAAAAAAGTCATTGAGAAATTCTGAAAGTATATTCATGTGACAAGAGCTCAGTGACATTCTGGCCTGCAGCAGACAGATTCAACAAGATGCAACTGTCACCATCACTAACATGTCATACACCGTACTGAGCTCAGACCACCAGCTACAGAAAGAGTAACTATGAGGAAGAGGGTTCTGAAAGAAAGAGCAAGCGACAGGCCGAAAGACTCCATTTAGAAGAGCAGTATTCCATATAGGTTGGGCAAAAGTGTGCTCTAACAATTCAAGAGTATCTATGAATGTCTGACAGAAACAGGCAAAAGTTACAATCATGAGTAAAAGGAACGTAACTGAAGCAATGAGAAGAAACAGAGGAAGAAGTTTAGGCTGAGTATCAGAATAAAGTCTTCCTGCAGTGACAAGTAAGGTTGCAAGCCCTCCCACTGTCTAGGGAAGTAGCAGCACACTGCTATTTCACTGACACATGAACACCAAGAATGCGTAACAGGACGTGGGTTGTAGGCAAATTATTTCAACAGTCAAGTTAGGTCTGGATTCTATCACTGCCTAATCAAATTTTATCTGGAATAGGTTATTTGGATGGCATAATGCTGCTACAAGACAACATGGCGCTTCCTGTTTGTCTGAGAAAGAATAGCAGTATAGAGCATGTCAGAGTAGCTTTGGTTAGGATCATACTGTATGGAGGCTCTCCGTCTTGCGAGCATGCAACCTGATCTCCACTGAGACTCCATCATGGAAAAATTCAGGCAAACAAAAATATGTTCTTTTCAATCCAAGATTCGTAAAATGTAAAAGCAGCTTCCCAATGAAGGTGGCTGCACATCTTGATTACCTTTGCAAAGGTATGAACCATACTATGCATTAATATTCATCTCAGTTCCCCAAGGCTACTGTAATTTTCCCCGATGCCCTGCTCACATTCCCTAGGCTGCCAACCTTGAGAGTCCATGTCACTGATATCTCAATTACCTTTTAATGGAGACATCCAGATCCTTCAAGCAGTCCACAATCGTGCTTCTATGCCGTTGTACTGCATTATGGTCTGTCTGCACAGTTTTCAACAATGACGTCAGAGCTACATATCTGCAATAATGACACACGGTAATAAACAGTTGACAGCAGCATTCAATTTCTATGCACAGACACTCACATTCCCCAAGGCCTAGCCTTACCTTGCAAGGGAACAGGGTTTTCTTGTACTCAGTAACAAATGGAAATCTTCCAGGGGACTGCCTGGCCTATCTTGAAAGGTGAGTCACCACCCTAAACTAAGATGCCTAACATCATCCCACTGACCAGGCAAGCGCCTGTCCCAATTCCTGGGCTCATGTCAGCTGTCTAGTTTTCACAAAGATTTTGAAATGACAAGGCAATTAAAGATTTGACCTCTGCAAACCAACTCAAACCAGCATAAGCTGCAATTCCCAAGGCCAGTCTTCTACCTATACCATGATTTGCAGTCAAAATGCCTAGAGATGGGATTCAATGCTAGCAGGTGCATCAATTCCATGTCCGGATTCATAGTGACCAAAGCACCATCAAACTTCCTTGTTGCCAGCAGCACACAGTCAGAAAAACCCTAGTCTCTGCCTAATTTGTCAGATCTCTAGTGCCAACTCTGATCTGAGTATCACCACAGACCAGATGGGACAAGACAGGAGATTCACAAGTTTTTGGAAAAAAAGCTAGACTAGATTAAAAAAACCCCACACATTAAGAATTAGGTCATACACCCAGGCTCATCAACTAAAAAGGACAGGACCACAGTTAAGATTTGCACAGAGAAAAGAATGTAGCAAAGAAAAAAGCTAGACAGTCTTACTAACGCCAACAACAAGTCTCCTGGAAAGCTCTACTTCAGTATAATCTTTGTGTAACAGCTTCCCACACATTTTAAACTGGGTGTTGCCAAAACATACTTCATACAACTTACCTAATATTTTTGTCGTTGTTTAATAAGAAACGGCCTAGGATGTTAATGGCTAACACCTGCAGAAAGAGTTAGGGAAGGTCAGTCATCAAAAAAGGCTGCTGGTCATCTTCACTGTTTCAAGATTATTTCAAAGGCAATGTGTCAAAGCTACCATTGCGGTTCTTGGCCAAAAGAGTAATAAAGAAATCCAGAAGCTGCCTAAGCAGAGGAAGAGCTGAGAAACACAGCACAGGCTCTCTCCTGCACTCAAGGGAACACGGTCTGCAGGAAGTTTTGCTTTTTCATTTTTGCTTTTTAAAAACAAACAAACACACACCACTTTCTGAAGAGGCTACAGTCCTACCTAGAGCCAACCGCAGAGCTGTGTTTGGGTTAAGTAACTTGGCTTCATGTCCTCTAAACAAATTAATACTAGCCTAGAAAGATTAAAAAAACAAAGGCCATAGCAATGGTCACTTACTCTCAGTCCACTCTCAGATTTTATGTCCATAATAGTCAGCACAGTTTCATAGAGAATGGCATTTCCCACGTTTTTACTTGTTTCTGTATTAGTGGCAACCTGGAGAAAAGAAACAAAATAAGTGACTAACACATCCAAAATGGACACCCCCCTCCGTGCTGTTCTGCAGAACAGGCAGTGAAACTACCCAGTCCCTAGCAAACAAACAGCACTCCTATGAACATGTCTCTCGCAGCAAAATCGCAAGCAGCTGTATCCTCACCAGTGCTGCTCAGTCCAATTATTAAGAAACCAAAAGCAAAAGTTTAAGCTGCTCATCAACCTTACAGACCTCACCTGTGCAAGTATATCGTTCATTGCTTCACTAGAATCGTCATCATTTCGCCCTAAAATTCTTAGTAACCGCAGGATTCGTACCTATTTGACAAAACAAAGCAAAGAAACGCTCACTGGATGGCATGTTTTACATGGGGGCTATGAAATACCAGTACACTTTGAGCAAAACAAGCTGCCGATTTCCTTTCCTAAGCAAAATGCTGAAGACCTTTGCCAACAAGAACAGGCTTATGGTGTGCTCATTTTCTTCCCACTAGCCAGAGTTAAGAGTACCCCCACACACACATGCACTAGGCACAGCCTTGCAAGACTAACACACTATATAATAAGGCACTAAAACTGTTGTTTAACTAAGGCAGTTGTCTTTCACTAAGGGAGATGAAAAGCATTTGCACAATCAGCTCTAAGAAAGACACAAAAATTTTAAAATCATAGAGCCGACCTGAGGTAACCACCTCATCACACCTGAGTCCCAAAACACAGTACTAGAATTAAAGCTATCAATTACTGTTTGCATCAGTTCTTACCTGCAAAAAGGGGTCACTGATCCCAGACACATCATGCTCTGGCGAATATCCAGACATGATAAGGTTCTTCAGAATACGAACTAATTGGGGAACAAGCTGTGAAGAAGAGGGTTATCCTATTAGGGTGTTGTTCCTTCCCCCACGCAGCTTTGAAGTACAGGTCCAAGAATAAATCTCATATTTGAAAGTAAGTCAATCTATGGATTGATTCTTCCCCGAAGTTCAACCTGCACACCTAGAGCTGATGTTGTATGAATACTTACAGCTTACCTAGGGCACAACTAAAAACAGCTAACCTGGGACCTCAGAACTGTATCTTTAAAGTCCTGAATCTACCAGAGCTGGGTCATTGAGACCTGAGGGTAAATACCAACTCAAATTCCTCTCTTCATGAAACATGGATGTGCCAGGGACTACTAAAATGGTGTAATTCCAGGACTTTGCCTGTGGGCTTTACATCAGCTTCCCGACTCACTTTTAGCATACATCTCCATGGAAGCATCAGGCATAGCCAAGTTCTGGTCTTTTGAAGTACTGTACTGCTATTATTAAATTATTAAGAATTCCTTCAAGTCTGACATTCCATCCAACTTAGCTTCTAGAAAGAAAAGCTCTGTGATCTCCTTCCTCTCCAAGAGTTTCCAAATAGGGCAGGGAAGGGATTTTCCTCCAGCCTTCCCCCAGGGCCCTACTGCTAGTCTACTACTTCACTGCAAGTAGCTCCAGGGTCTATTCTCCTCCTCTTCATCCCACACTTCTTGGCCAGAGCAGCAACACTAAACTGACCAAATTCTCTGCTGTACTGCTGTTAGAAGGGTTCTGCCTAAGAGCTGAGAAACCAACAGAAGCACTGCTACCATGCCGGATTCAGGAGCACAAAATCGTATCCGCTTTCACTGTTCATATTTTAAAGTTTCTTCCCGACTGTGCGGGCTAAAAAGCTTTCAGAAGCACTTCAGATTCCTCAGAAGTTGATGGCACTTGTCTCCCAGTGGACATCTACCCATAGGAGTATGTTATCTTTCAAGACTTGTACACAGCTTTGAAGAAATGCTACCTATTTGCAGAAGCTTGGTTCAACCCCCTACATCTCTGGCATCTCTGGTGATGCACTTCATCTGTCAGGGCAAATCTGAGGAACTGTAACAGAATTTCCCTGTAGCATCTCGCACATGCCAAGTAAGTAATTAGTTTAGGGCAGAACACAGCAAATAAGCCAATCATGAAAGCAGACAAGCTACAACAAACATATATCTCTAAAAACCTTCATAGCAGCTATTAGAAACAGAATAGTCTCAGGGTTGAAATGGAAGCTCATTTCCAACACATCCTATGAAAAAACTTCACTTTGAAAATATAGAAAACTAGACTCATTCTCATTGGTGTGCAAGAGAAAAGCCACTCCTTGTGGATGACAGAGATGCAGATCTCCACAAGCTTTATTACTTCCACAGAAAGCTGCTTCTATCCCTCAGTGCTGGTGTTCCTGAAATAATCCAGACACTGGCTGGAGCCAAAGCGACCAACTACACAGGGGTGTCATGGCAGCTGCACTAAGTGGATTTTTCATTCCTGAAGTATGGCTAGCACCAGGACAGCATCACTCCTCCTCTCAACTCCATGCATGAAAATTACAGTTTATCAAAATATTCTCTAACAAAAACCCTTCCCAATGATTCACCCTTAAGATTTCAGGAGTTTCCCATCCCTGAGCTGCGCTGCTCCTACAGTCATTTGTGCCTACGAGTCAGAGACTGCATTCACACTAAATTTTTACCAGATCAGAGATTGCTTATAGTAAAAGTTGCCATTTCTGACAATATCGAGATGGTGGTTCAGATTCAGGACAGAGAGTGGCAGGTGCTAAAAGCACAATGTGACTTTTAGAGCCCAACAGCTGAATGTGGACGTACTAGATGGGCCATCTTTTCTGGACTAAGGTCCTGTACATTTGTGGTACAGTGAAAGAAGAAAACCATAATCTCTTAATTCCTACCTTTGCTCTTCAGCAATTAGAGTCCTCAAAATGTGCATTTCATATAACACACAAACAAAAGGAACCATGAATTTCCTATTATCTGCCTTAAAGAGGAAACCAAAGGGTGCTGCAACATCTTCCCTCAAGACAGTGTAATAGACAAGTGGAGTGACCTGCTGGAGCATTCCGGGAACCCCAATTAACATTTTCTTTGCCTTCTAACACGCAAGAGTTATCAGGACTGAGGACAGAACAAAGGGAAACATTACAGCCATGGAGATGGTTGAGGGCCGTCCCCCTGATCTTCTGTAGTCAAATGACACCCATGAAAAATATTGGCAGTGCAGCTGTGTTCAGCAGCTCTCTGCAGCACAGCAAGCCCACCTACAGGGCCGTGTCTCCTGCTCCCTTTTGGGAATCACCCGAAGTTGTTCCATGCTTCAAGCAAAACACAAAGCCCAGTTTGCGATAAGAAGAAAACCCCAGGCTACAGTTTGCCTAGGCACACCAAAAAAAAAAAAAAAAAAAATCCCTGACGTATTCTTCAGATGGGAAAGAGCTTGAGGAAAGCAAGCTCACGTTTGGAGAAGGCCACAACTGAGATTCAGGGCTGCCATGGGTTCAGTGACAAGACCAGACCAGCACACAAAAAGCATTAGACAAGTAAATCCGATCTAAGCGTGTGGCATCAATCACAAATGTGGCATTGAGAGGCACTGCCTCACAAGACACAAACATCTACAGATTCAATGCAAGCATGCACCATCTAGAAGAATTAACTCTTACCTTTTCATTCTAATACACAGCAGGATTCCCAACAGACAACAGGGACAAAACAGACGAAGCAGGCATTAGGCACAGATCAATGTTACACCATTCACAGCATAAACAGCTACAAGAGATGGCTAGAAAAGAATCCACCTAGTACCTAAACTTTGTGGACTCAGCTCTACCCTCTTTTCCAACAACTATCACCTCAAGTGAGCAATTAGTAGTGGGGATGACGACCTTGAAGACAACCCTAGTCTCACCTACGTTCCTGCTTTGACATACACAGTCAGGGCAAGGGAAGATGCGAGCCAAAACGCTAAGATGCATCAAAGCATGTACTGTTTGAAATCCCTAATGATACAGACAAGCCAAGGAAGAACAGTAAACTGGACATGCAAATAAATAACCACCTTTAAGACTTTTCAGAGGAGCAAATAGCCAGTTCTGTTCTACCAGTTTTATTCAATTTCTCTTTCTTTGACCAAGAAGTCAGAATGACAGTCAATGCAATTTTCAAATGCCCTTCTATCAGTTCTCTTTCGCATGGCGATAATACTGCACAGCAGATTACAGCAAACAGCAGAAGAAGCTTGTGCTGGGGCAGGGGGAGAAGGAAACATTCCTAACCAGAGGAAAAATAGTGATGCTGACTCTCAAACCTTTAAGTTAAACTGGAAAATGATGCAAGATATCATGCACCAGAGATGTGGTATCTACAGAACTACAACTTCCATTGCTATTTTTGACCTGAGTGTATACAATTGTGTGGCTTTGGTTAAGGCATTCAGGTGTTGGTATAAGCCTCAGTTTTTCAGCTCTGCCTCTTTAATACATTCATGATTCCAATGTCACTGTGCAATTAGCTACAAAAAAAGTTAAAAAAAACCTCAGGGAGCAAAGAGGACACTTCAAGTCTATTGTAAGGATGAGTTTCATGAAACATTTTAAGACTGATATTTTGTAACTTACTTATTGAAGGGGATTAAGGCTAGATACACACAAAATTCCCAAATTTAATAATTAAAAAAAATTAGAATAAGCCAACAACATTATTAAATACATCACCCAAATAGTTGTAAGGATTTTACTAGAAGATGTGCACACTGCTCTCACTAGGGAGACTAAGAGGACACATTGGTAAAAAAAACCAAAACCCAACAAAACCCCAACCCACCACAAATATTAATTCTGCAATATTATCAGTTCACACTTACCTTTCTAAAGTGTGCGAGCATGTCTGGGCTTCTCTCACACATCTCTGTGAGGAGGACAACTGATGTGTGAAGAACACCTGAAGGTGAGGGAGAGGGGAAGAAAAAAACATATCTACATTTAATAATTTCATTGGCTCCTGACATGTGACAAAGATCATAACGAAATGACAGGAAATTAAAAACACCTCTTGAATCCAACATAACTACCCCAAAATATATTTACACTTGCAGCTGTTGGGCACAGCAGACAGCAATGTGCTCATGTCTTAAATCTGCAACTGAAGGCCAGAGAAGAGAAACTGGACTTTGTCTACAGAAACTTGCACAGTAAATATGCAGTCAGATGGTAGAGACATAGTTGGACTAGATGAGCATTAAGGTCCCTTCCAACTCAAACCATTCTGTGATTCTATACAAACATAAGACTCTCAAAGGACAATATGTGTTAAGTGTATTGTAGGTGTTGGGTTCCCCATGCTTCCTGATCTTCTCTTGTTTGGGTACCCTAGCAGACCTCGTATGACCTGAACTGAGCCCTCTTTCAAACGTTTCCAAACTCAGCCTAGAGAAAGCCCACAGCAGACGTCTTGGTCAAGCAGTGCCTGCACACCGGCAGCCTGCTGCCGCGTGCCCTGCCTTAACAGAACGCAAAGTGTCCCTGACAATCGTTAGCAAAGGCATGTCAGTTCCAAATCATTCAACTCTGTGTCAACGAAAGATAACTCAGCAGTGAGACCTTACCTTGTGAGGCATGGCACTTCCAACAATGAGCATTACTTTTTTCCCCCGCATTCAGCTGTAACACAGCAATCCTTCTCAAATGCTAACTTTTTAGGTATTCATTTTCTAGAGCTGTTAATTCCATACTGGAGAGCTCCTGACTCAGAAAGAGACTAGTGGGTTCTTAGCACTACAAACATCTACTGTAGAACTTCTCGTACACCCACCTATTTTTTTTTTAAGGCTTGTGCTCGTCGCAGAAGTGCCACAGGACTAGGACTTTGGGAAGCGAGCACTAGGCTTAACACAAATTAGTCAGGGTGTTAGTATTTCTCTTTAAACGATTGTGTAGAAGTGCTTGTGCAAGAAAATCCACCGAAACCAAATAATCTTGCAAGGGACCATTAAAGTGAGAATCTGTTTTATGATGTGGTTCTGATAAAAACAGCCCTGAAGACCGACTCTTTCCTGACAGTGACACAGGTATCTCAGGCCTGGGAATGCCTGCTAAAATGATGTCAGAGAATCCTATAGAGTTATGCTAACAGAAGAGACAAAAACCTCCCACCCTCTAGCATCCCTTTAGGCAGCATATTGAAACAAAATCACAAACTTTCCCATTCCACCCACCCTGAAGTGTATCAAAAAACAGTGAAAGAGTTCCTTTTGTCATCTATGCCATGGAAAAGTCCTGCTGACTAGCAAAGTCACACACCTCCCTTCCTTCTGAAGGATTATTTGCTTTCACTGTATAGAAATGGGAAGAAACAAATCATACAAATACACCTCAAAAGTAACTTCCAAACAAAAAGCTTGGGTAGCAAGTACACCACCCTGTAAAGAATGGCGTAGCCTTGCTAAGCAGAGACTCTGATATTACCATGGTTCTTCTCATTCAGCAAGTTTTTGGTGGCTGGCAGGAACATCTCCATGAGTTCAGGCACCTTTCTAATGACATGAACAGCGCACAATGCTGCCTGTAGAGGAAAACAGCTCTGTTAGTACACACTGTAATGAGAACGACACATTATTTGAGAACATCTAGCACAGTGGGAACTGCCACAAATTTCTAACTACTTTTACTACTACTGCTTTGTGACTATTTTTGAACTACCACATGTGAGGGGGGTGGGGGGGTGGGAGGCGGTGTAGTGGATGGGTGGGAAGAAGGCACTAGCCACAAAGCAATACTCCCACTAGCAATGGTTGATTTTTACATTATTCTCTTCAGAAGTTCGGAAGCAATATTACTGCAAAGCAGCTCTGCCTTTAAATAGGGCTGCTTCAATCTGTCTTCCTGTTGCTAGGGAAGGGATAATTCATTGGAAGCAAATAATTAAGTTTATGTCAAATTATGGTTCATTTTCTTTCCCTCGAATATAATTTCCTTCCCCAGAAAATAACTTCCTCCTGCAGGTGATGGGTCCTATGAAAAACAAGAGTATACTGCAAAAAATTGCCTACTTTTTCTAGGGTGCAGAAGCAACAGGAGACACTACTCTTTGCAGCTGCTTGAGGATCAAATGCACCGAGGGCCTCTTCCCAGAATACAGCAATACCTCTTAGCATTGCGTTCTCTCCAATCTCTCCAGATCCACAACTAGCTAAAGTAGTAACAAGGCATCTTTTTCTAAATCCTACTGCTCCCCACCCTCCCCAGGAATTAACAGTGAAATAAGTTTAAAAGAACAAGGGCAGTCACACCGTGCAGATGCTACACACACTTGCTATGAAACAAAACAACTTGTAATTATTTGCCTGTTTCAAGCCCTTAACCTTTCTATCTCACACACTACTGTCATCATCGTCACCAGAGGAGATCAGATTGGTTCAAATCTTCAGGAATCAGCCTGCACTGGTAATGACCAAAGCTTCTCTGGACTTACATGAGAAGATACAGAAACGAAACTGATGACTAGAAGTTTGGGGTTAATGTCTGTGAGTGGGCAGGTGTTCACGTTACCATCAATAACCTTAAGGTAGAGAGTATCAGAACGGAAACAACTGCCTCACCTGTTGGAGGTTTACCTTTTAGAGCCTTACACATGCCTACTATAGCGAGACAGGGAGTTTGGACCTCTACCTGTCTGGTATACTGACAATACTCAGCCAGTGTCATCCAAGCCATCTAGTATTCCAGATATTAGCAAGGTATCTGATCAATCTTGAGTTTGAATCCATAACAAAGTATTCAAAAGTTCCCTGAAGTACCTTCTTCCTAAGATAGGAGTTGGAAGTTTTGAGGAGCTTTTCCACCTCTCCTGCAAGGTCTCTGCACATTTCTGAGGAGCCCATGCAGCCAAGAGTGCAGAGTGCCAGCCCCTGCACATATTGCGTGCTATGATTAAGGTCACTGTAAAGGAAAACAAACAAACAAAAAAAGCCAATCAATGTGCACACAGAGAACCTGAACACACAAGAAAAGGCATCTGCATCTACAGTCATCTAATCTGCTGCCCATGGCCCAGAACAACTCTCCAGACTCTCAGCTATTTGGGAGCACGACTTAATGGCAACAGCAGCTTTGACTGCATGTACCACAGGGTTTGCTACTACTTCTACTTAAAATGCTCAATTATGAACATAAAATGCTCGGTTAAAACTATCAGTTGTATCTAGGGATTGAGCTGAGAAGACTGAAGACCACACAGAACTCCATTAAAACTTTTAAAGTGAAAACAAAACATTTTATTTTGGAACTTGCATGGAGAAAAGAACCCAACACAAAGTGCAGTCCTGAGTGACTCTATGGGTTGTTCTCAGTTTAAACATGTTCTAGGACAGGCTTTAGCTTCTGCATTTACAAACCAAACCATATATAAGAATCTATGTAAAAATATCCTCTGTCCCGAGTAAAAACCACAAACTCCACCACTCACACACCTTGAAAATAATCCATACAGGAATTTTGTTTAGTAATCCTAACTGTTCCTATGCCTATGGATGCTGTGAAAAGTGCTCAGTAAGAAATCAAACCACCTACCAGTAGATGCTATTCACGAGGCCAGCTACCAATGTCACACTAAGTACAAAGATAATATATCTCCCACACAGCAATCCCAACAGCCTTTAAAACTGATTTCAACACTACTTTTCTATCAGACTATTTGGTACTGATGTCACCACAGTATCCAGGATTCAGTGCTGAAGAAAGTAAAAAAATATGGTTCCTGGTTTGGGAGGCGAGGGGAGCTGGGGAAATGAGTGGTATGTAACCAAACGCGCATGACGTGCAGAAAAGCAAGAGACAATATTCTGGTTGTAACATCGAGCAGCTATGGCAACATGCAGATGAAGGAACAGATAGCACATGCCACTCAATGGGTTGGTTTTTTTGTTTCCTTCCTTTAACACATTTTTGGCAGCTATATAAAGCTGTGTGCATAGCAAGTACGTGCTTCACAAGGGTGCTTGCCTTTTTTGTATCAAAAATCTAGGTCTTGCTATAAAATAATGACAGTATCATAAAATCAAATACAAGCACAACCAAGTGGCAGATGCAGAAGCCAAAGGAGAAAGCCATAAACAACCCACTGAGTTGGTGGAAAGCTGTCCACCAGTTTTGCTCAGCTTCAGTCTGACCCATTTCCAGTTCAAACTCTCTACCCCCTTGCCACACAAATTCATTTTAGCATACACATTCAGAAGAGATGTTAACCTAGCAGCCTTGTTCTAATGGAATAGCCTCACAGGTATGACGCTACCATGAAAAAAAATCTTCAGCCAAATGGCTCTTCTCTCCTGGACACTAGGTCCACAGTTAGCATGTCCCCAGACCCACAGTTTTGTCAAGTTTCTTTCCAAGCAGTTTGACACCACAGTCTAACTGGAGATCAATACTCTACTTGCTAATATCTGGGAAGCTTATGTTCTAAAAGTAAATAATAAAAATCAGGCACACCACACACAACCAAGCGGGTTCTAGTTGATTTGCCCAGATACCTAGTTATTCTACTCCTGCTCCCACCCATCTTGAAAAGGAGTGTTATTGGAAATGCAGCAATCATCTACGAAACCACAATGTAAACCAGTCCCAGTTTAACAGCATTTTGCTGAGGAAAAATAAAAGATTATTTCCCATCCCCTCTTGTCTAATTTCAGCAAGATGCCAAGGCGACAGCACATCCCAAGTTGCTGCCTTGCTTCCAAGGAAAACCATTCATCAGGACCATTAGGCCAACCTTAAAAAGAAAGCAGGATACCCAGCCTTGACCACTGAAGCCAGGTGACTCTTCAGAGCTTGTCAGCAGAAATCAAGTAAACCAACACAGGACAACATGGCTGCACCAACATATATACATGACTGACATGGGATGGCCAGTCCAGCCTATGAAGTGTTTAACAGCATTATAAACACATCCTGATTCAACTATATTTAAAAGGTGCATGGACCTATACTGATGCTGCATTACTGCTTGCCTGGCTCCTTCCTGCTGCAGGCTGGAAGGTAGTTTACAAAATGGAAGAGAGTTCTTTACACCAATTAGAGGTCTCCTGCACTGACCAAGCAGCTTACTGCAGTCATTTCATCCTCCTCATTTTATTTATCTTAACTTGACCTCCAGAAACACACACTACCATTATGTAACAGTATTTACACGAAGTGTTTGCCACATACATCTCTTCAGGACCAATGCAATTTTATATTCTCTTCCCTCTAAGGAAGCTAGACAAGATCATCCAATAGAATACAAAAATACAGTCTTGAATGGTCAACAGCATACAACAAACTGAAGATACCAGTTGTTTAACACAAGGGAAAAAAACTAAAGTACTCAAAATATCACTGTCAGGACTGTACTTTCAGAACCTGAAACCTCAAAGCATGTGTTGATGGAGAGAGAGGTGGCACCCTTACTTCTTGATGCAATTGGTCATAAGAAGATGGACATCCTGTCTCTCATCCAGCAGCAACATGGCACCTAAATACCCAATGCGCTTGTCTGTGAATTTCTGAGAGGCAATGAGCTTGAGGCACTCCAACTGGAAAAAAAAAGGAAAAAAGGAAAAAAAAAAAGACAGAATTAGCTTAAACTACTTCTTAGCTAAAGAAACAGTTTGAATTTTGATGTTTACTCATTTAGGTTTTTAAGAATGCATTTTTTAAAGTATATTTTATTCCCATTTTGGTGATGTGGAAAACAAAACAGGTTAAATGACTTGCCCGAAGCTCCCAGCAAGTCATTAGCGGCTCCTGCATCCTGTAATAGCCAGACACAGTTGGCCTTCCATGACCTCAGAAATACCAGATACGCGGGTTTATGTCAGATCACAGAAGTGAAAAGATAACTTGTTTATAGAGGAAGAGATCCATCATTAAAAACCAAATAGAGATCTAGAAATCTAGACCGTATGTCATGTTTGACATGCACTAGAAATTTTTGAACCAGGCTCCATCTACCTGGCCAGAGAGAGGATCAATGATCTCTAAGTTAAGTTGTCAAAACCACTTTTTGCTGGTTATGATCTGCAATGAACTTGCTAGCCAGGTAAACCTTACACACAGAGATAGTTCAGCTCTTGCGCCGCTCTGTAATCTGTCTGAACACCTGAAGTTTGACCAAAATCATGTGCATCCTAGCCACTACCAGCTTCCTGTTCACCATGCAGAAAGGTGAACATAGCATAAAGGAGATCCAGAAGATAACATTCACAGCTGCCACTTGCACTCAGCTGATTGGGAACGTAATTGCTAAGCCATTTTTACATTTTAACACTGAAAACCAAAAAGTACTTAAACTACAGAGACATTCTGACATTTCTACACACTAAAATACTTTGCTCTAGCAGGTAACTCATCAAGCATAACCAGTATCTACTTTCCAGTCGGGAAGTAGCAGAAATGGCTTCTCAAAACAGGGAAGAGACCTATCCCTCACAAATACATCCTGTAAGTCTGTTTTACAAATTAGCTGGGGCAGCAAGTAAGCACACAACAGGTGTAAGGAGAGGTCAGACAAAGCTTGCAACAGACCCATTTTAAAGGAAGTAAAGGGGGCATGCACAGGCAAAAACACAGGGTGTCATGAAAAGTTTTTCATGGTCCCTAGCTCCAGGGAAGCTTGAACAGGGCAACAGACAGAGGTGAGATGCAAGAAGCACACACACACAGGGAGGGTAAAGTTGTACAGGACAAGCTGAAGATGCCAGAGAAGGTAAGTGCCATGTCCTAACCTCTGATAAGTTCTCACAACTGTATAGCATCAGAACTTACAACTCAACTGTGCAAGAAGCTGTCACATATGAACACCCAGCTAGTGCAGGGTGACAAACTGGTAAGAAAAAGCTTGAAAGAAAGCAAGTTTAGTCTGCCAGGTTTAAAGGGGCTGAAAATGTAGAATAAAGAAACACTCCTGAACAATAAGATCAGTCATCCACAAGGATAACTGAACTTGCACAAACAGGAAAGATCAGCCAGGGATAAGGTACAGAACACTAGATACCAACCTCTTATATTTCCAGTGCTTTCTGTAAGAGAATAATGCACCTCTAAACCAACTTTCTCCCCCAGGTTTACAAGATACTTTCTTATGCAACCCACTGCAAAAATGCAGTGCAGAACTGATGACATCTAGGCTACACTGTAAGAGCCAACAAAGGCAGAAGATGAATGACTAAGAAAAAGCAGAAGAAAACTAATGACTGCAACAGATACTGTAAGATCCATTTGTAGTACTCTTGAATTTGAAATAGATTATTGAAATTTACCCTGTGAAAGGCTGATGAGTTCGTTTCACTTGTACACAAATATATGCAAACTAGCCTCATGCACAGCAATACTGAGAAACATGATCAGCTGAAGCTCTTGCTAGGTCTAATTAGTGGAAGAAATCTTGATACCATTATATCCTTTTCACTCAAAGGAACAATTAAAATCTGTTACATCACTACTGTAACAGATACATCAGTAAAGCTGGGTAAGATACAGGCATGTAGCAAGACTACAACTTACCCACGTTTTTACTGACATACCACTCTTCCAACTGGAATTTTTTTGCAAGTAGAAATAATGACAATAATTAACAAAGTTACTTGACCATCTGCCCAGGCTGCCTGACAACTAAACTTGCCTTCGCACACGCCCAAGAGACAACTTGCCATCCAGCGCATCTCAGCATGCACTGGCTTAATATGGTGCTTATGCTCCTTTTTCTGTAAAAGATATCCTGAGCCAAAGGTGAGGATCCCCAGCCTGGAAAGGAGGAGAACAACCATTCACTACTTCTGACACTTCCTCTAAATTCTCTTTTACTATTGGTTACCCCATCCACTGTTCATTGAAGACAGATGTCTGCCTCCGTCTTTAAGACAGACTGTCTAACACAGCCCGTGGCTCTCTTCTGCTTTTCACCACAACGTATTCCCTGCCTATTTATCCCACCACTCTCAGAAACTTCCTGTCTACAATGCAAACAGACTACGCCCTAAAGCCTAAGCAAAGCTCAACCTGAAGAACATCTTGTAAATCAAGAACTCCCATCTTCCTGTCTCCCTTTTCCACAATCTACCTGTGCCAAACACAGGGCGTCAAAAATAAGCCAAGAGATGGGAAACTCACACCAGCGTTCTCCAGGTCACCTCATTAACACAGAGATAAGGAACACCAATTTCTCAGTGCTAGGAACAGACCAGCCCTTATCTGCCTTTAAAAGGAAAAGGGCATAGACACTCTTTGGATGCATCTGGTATTTCCCATCAGACACAGAATTCCAAAGTGCTGTTCTGAATCCACCTAGAAATAACCATTCGTACTGGACTGTGGTTTAAGAACTACTGCTCTGCAGAAACATGAGTGGTGAGGAGCAAGCAGACAGTCTGGCAAAAGCAGACTAACCCTATGTTTTGTAACAAAACATACAAGCCTCCAAACAGCAGATCTCACCAACCAAGTCAAAACTTACTAATGTAGGTTCAGAACATATATGAAGACACACCCTCAAACATTCCGAAGAGCAGCCAGCGAAACTGCAGCTAGGAATACTCCGAACAAGTCAACGTGCCCAAAAAACAGGAAGCAGACTGGCATATGCACACAGCACTGCAAGCACTGAACTCTGACCTACCTGTCCAAAATGCGCAGGGTATCCCAGCATGTGCATATACAGCAGCTTTGCCACATTTCTGCATCGGTATGTGTTATCTTCCTCTCGGAAGGATGACCGGATAGCAGCACATTCCTTTTGGATCATCTCACGCTCTTCTGCCTGGGTTCTTGCTGTCCGGATGGTCCGGATCAACTCCCGCAGTCTGATGGGGGCTGGCATCCTCTGGGAGAAGAAAGAGATCTGTAAGCCTTGTACTGTACCTAAAGGCTTCACAGTGGTTCCATACTTTCGCATATTCTTTTTTCTTACTCCATAATTATGTAAGTAGAAAAATTAAGAAAACACGGACTGTTTCAGTAGCATGGTTAAAAGTAAACTTGAAAACCAGAGGAATTTGTTGTACCTCACATTTCCTCTTTCAGAACATTAGAAAGAGAAATGTCTATGCTTTGAGCTAGCTGTCAGGTGAACGTAACACGACTCCTCATCCAAAACAGGAAGAAATTGCACTCTGCAAGGTATGCTCCATATTCACATCATCTGCCTCTCTCCAGAAAAAAAAATAAGGCTCCCAAGACAGTTGATCCCAAAATCCTGACAACTTGGGACAGAAATCCTTTACAAAAAGCTGTTTATTAACTTGCACAAGATTTCGTATAAGCGTTCCAGAGAGCCATGCTCCAAAAGTCCTGCAAGTGCCAAACACACTTCCTCCTTAGAGGCGGGAAGTCGGCAGAGAAAGCAGATGGAAGACCAACCCTTGCTGCGTGGATATTTCAGAGAATGTTCTTTTAAAAAAATAAATCAAGTTGACACTATCCTTTTATTACACCCCGAACAGAACAATCCTTTCTAAAACAAGCAAGACTGTCACACTACTGTCTGGTGGCACTGGTGTGAAAGTGTGCAAGAAAAACATATTCTACGTGAACTCCAAGCAGTTTCACTTCACCAGAGGGAATCCTGATGGAGCCATCTGACCTAGAGAGCAATTTAGTCTTCAGAGAAACCCTCAGGAAGAAAATGGCTCTCAAACAAAAGCCAGACTCTACAACTACATTCAACAGTTGGACATTCAGTTCATGCTCACCAAAGCCGACTCCTGACTTTCTGGGAGATCAGGCTATGCAAACATCTCGACAGTCGTCTTTCATCCACGCTAGACCGCAAATGTAACTAAGCCACTCTGATATGAGATGATGTCACACCAACTTCTAAAAAGTTGCCATGGCAGTCTGCTACAGATTTTGTCTGGGTCACCGTCCTCCCAAAACCGTGTGTCATACACTTTAAGCACTGCCATATCAGAAAAACGATGTGCATTCAGGATGCTGTACTACCTGGCTTGCATGACACCACAGAACAGACCAGGCTGGGAAGAACACAGAGTTAACAGGGAACTTGTTTGCTGCAGAAAAGCAAAGAGATGCATGTACAGCGAGTAAAGGTGTCCCCACAGTAGAACAGCTGAGTGCTGCTCTACAGCTCCAGATAATAAGTCTGGCCTCCTACAGAATTCATACATAACACTAGGTCTCCTCAGTCAAGGCATTCAGACCCCTCATATTCCAGTTCTCCATCTTCGTACCTATAAAGTTTCAACTTACAGAGACACAAAGCATTCCATTTTGAAAATGGAGGAGTAGACATGTTCCTTCTGCAGAAGGAAACTCTGCCCCAAAATGCTGACACGTGTAGGATCAAGATTATTGGACACCTAATCTTGCCTCTCCATGTGCATTTATAACACTTGCTCACATTACAGTGATATGAGTAAATTAATGCTTTCTATGCATTCCAATGCTGTACTAACAAGCATCACAGAAACGGTCAAGGGGAAGTCAGAAATGTTTAAACTCACCTCACCTGTTTGGCTACTGCTGACTGACTTTTTTTTTTTTAATAAAGATGCTACAGAACTCTAAGACCTCTAGCTTGAGTGACAACTTACTTAGAGCCTTTCACTGTGTACTTATCTGTATAGTAAATTATTGTCAGTGTAGGCATTGCTTTGCATTTATTGACAAATGAATTTGTTTCATCACCTTATTGCATACTTCCTTAGTACCATGAAATCCTTCCACAGCTTTAAGATGACACTGTCACCTTGCTATTCATTCCTCGTCTCCAGATCGCTCTATGAACACGCTTAATGGCACTGATTCACAGGGTGCCTTTCAGTAACCACCTCCTGTTACGAAAATGGACAGATCTTCTATCGTTCTCTGGGCACTTTTGTTTATTCCTTAGCTAGTTATTAACTCACAGTAAGATGTCCCTGGAAAATCTCCTCTATAACACAACAGAAACCTTTGGTTAGAAGCTCTGTCAAAATTTCCCAAAAATCCAACAATTTATAATCCAGACAACCTTTATCCATTTCCTAAGAAATTGTCAGAAACCATGCAGCTCCTGGGTCCTCTCCTGGAGTCCTTTTAAAAAACTGGCATCACACAAACTACCACTTACTCTTGTAAATCAGGTGTTGATTAAGATAGTGACGTATCAGATTTACAAGTTGAACAGTCTGGGATTCCTTAATTCCTGGTGAACTTCACTTTCTATTGGCAATCTATTGCTAATTTTACCTATTTATTCCAAGAGGTTGTCTCATGACATTTCAGTTTGTAAGCATTCCTCAGATTTCAACATGAGAATCCCATAAGTTTTCCCTTATAAAGCACTGATGTAAATAATGTGGATTTTTCTTGTTGTTGTTGCTATGAATTTGTTTTCTTTACACACTGGTTATCAGTCAGACTTCTAGTGTAGGCCTCTGCTAGGTATCATATTCCTGTACAGGGCAACAAAAGAGATGCATATCCAGGCATGTGGTCTTTAGGTGTCACCAGAACTTTAAAAAAACCTGCATCTCATCTGTGGTGAGGTACTGAGAAAATGAATTACGAACACCAACTGAGAATAGTAAGGACAGGAAAACAGATCAAGAAGTTTGCCTAGGAATGTAACACAAAAAAAAAATCCAAACAAATATTAAGCAGTTCCTCCTTTTTAGCGAGTCTGTCGGGCACTCTGTCACATCTGAAAGCCAGCCAGGCACACTTCCACACAGCCACCAGCAAATCAATTCTCCTCGATCACCTCACGGCCTCAGCAGCCACCTATACAGCACAGATCGTACTTGCTGCTGGCTGGGGTAAGGCTACAGTAAGGTGAAACAAAACACCGTCAGTTTTGCTACAACCAGCCTCCTACGAGGGGCACCTGCAGAATACCTACACCTGAAGAGCCACGTGTTGCCCATAAAAACTTTGATTACAGCTCTTGGATCAGTGACTACATCAAGGTGACAAACATCAAGGTGGTATTGACACAAGGTCTACTGAGTAAATAACTACAAAACTGAGAGAAGCCAAGCCAGCAGGGACGGCTGGGGCAACTACTACCACTTAATTAAGAGCAAGTGCAGCTAAACGTGCAGCTCAAACATCTGAACCAAGGAGCTGGGGATGTTATTTTTCATGTCCTGCCTGTTAATCTCTCCTACAGCTCCAAGATTAGCAGCATATGGCCCATGGTCATCAAGCAAAGAACCAGTTTGTAGGGGTCAGGGAAGCTAACCATCCTAAATCCAAGCCATCTGAGCACACAGACCAGGCTCTGTGCAGGTGCTTGATAAAGTCATTCAGAATCTCAGTTTCACTCTCACCCACCAAGAAAATTCCTTTAGCTTTCTGAAGTCCATACATTTTCATACTTAGAAAGGCGAGCCGATAAATCATGCACACCACTTCCTGGACAATCCCATGTTCATGGGGATGACTCCTACCTAGGGCCAGGCTGTAACTTAACTATTAAGCCCACAGTGGTGTGACTTGAAGCAGCATGACTGCAGGCCAAAAGCATGCATCTTTCAGACTTGGTAGAAAAACGGGCAGAAGAGGTAGAATGAAGACAATGAGATCACATGGAAAACATTCACACAAGACAGAAACCACTTCACATGATTCAGACCGGTAAGCACTTGCGTATGTCCAGCTCAAGAAAAAAAGAAACACACTGCTAACTGAGAGAAAACCGCACAGGATCCACTTTTCTTGCTCCTTTCTAAAGGAAGCACACATAAGGGCCATGCTCTTCCCTCCCTTTAGTCACATCAACTCTCAGCATTACTTGTGTATCAGTTTTCTAGGATTCTGATAGATCACAGAACAATAGGAAACAAACATTCTTCCACACAGACATCGCCAAGCAATCCATGACTGGAGACCAGACTCGCTGAGCACAATGACAAGGTGTAATAGCAAAGCACAAGGTCTTGTGTCCCCCATGGATATAGAGCTGGCACTCTAGGAAGCTGCAGCATAACAGGCACAAAGAATGGAAAAGGGCTCCAGCAAGGTCCTTATTGGCAAGTATTTAGGGTTTTCCTAATCATATAAACGAAGCATGGGCAACATGCAGCAGATCCATAGCCTGGCCCTACCCAGGCAGTCAAACAGTCCCAATATCAAAATCTTACTGGGACCTGACATACAACCAGACACACTTCATTAAAGGAGGGAAATTGGGGCTTTACATCAATAAACAGATTAATAATGGGAGTTAAACCAAAAAGAATACTAAAGAATTACAAAGGCAAAATATAAAGAGGATTAAACAATTTAGAGCTGAGAAGAATTAAAACACTTCAGTGATCATCGATTTTGACTATGTAATTTGTCTGGAAACACACTGAACCCTGTGTAAGATTATGAAAAGTCAGCTTCAGGTGAAAATGACAAAAAAGCAAACTGCCATGAAAAAGGAAATTTGACACACTCCTCTATATTACAGAAATGCAGTTTGTTGCACAAGATGACTAACAGAGAGGACAACCATATCACCTAGGAAAGGCAAACATGAAGTTTAACTTTAGCTGGCTAAATGCTGCTTAGAACTTCCTCCAGAGTAGCAGGTTTTGTCCTTCAGGATTAGTTAACATTTTTTACCAGTACAGGCATGTGTTTTTATTCTTTGTATACAACAGAAACAACAAATCAATATTGAAGTTTAGTTGCCTCTCTCCTCATTTTGTTTACAGCAGCAGTTTCCTTCTGCCATTTCTTTACTAACTACAAGCTGTAGAAATCAGGGAAATCAAATACCTGAACAGAGCCTATAAGTTAATATTTAAAATATCTGGTGAGATTGAACACTGAATTCTTCCACCTTATCAAGTCTGTCTCCCCATCTCATTTTGAAGGCCCTGCTCGTTAG